TTTTTAAATCGCAGCAATGTTTCAACCTCATGTCCCAACAGTCAACTGACAGATCAACCGATCAAGTGGGAGGAGGAAGAATTGTCAAAGGAATGATCTCTGAGATTGAAGTCAATCGACAAGTCAATCTAATCAATTGATTACAGAGATTTATTGTGAAAAATCGTCACTGAAAGAGGGCTCTGTATGTTCAACTCGTTCATCTGAGATCAAATGGATGTTTGCAATCAGCGTTTGTTTCGACAATCCAGAATTTAGAGCTTGATGAACTGCTTGAAGAAAGTTATCCAGAGGTGTCGAAGATGGCAAACTGGTAGGCCCAACCAAAGAAGGTGTATGTCCCGTCGAAGTAGAAGGAGTCAAAGTTGTAGAGGTAGGCCCCACCAAAGTTGTAGAAGAAGAAAAAGGAATATGGATAGGACGGTCAGTTCGATCAAGAGGGTTTCCAAAGGCATCATCACCATTGTCACGCATCGCAAGAAAAATTTCAAGCAAGAATGCAAGTGAAGAATCAGGTTGGTTAGAATTTCTTGAGCCAAAATGGCTACGGACTCAAAAATTTAAAATAAAGAAATGTCTAACTACGTTAGAAATTGATCCGCAATGGAATTTCAGCAGCCAAACTACGGGAACCCCGCGTCGGCAGTGGCGCAAAAAGGTCAGGCAGAGTTAAAATCAACTAGGAGGGGAAGGATCCTCTGCAACGCTGGCTTTGCAGGTGCCGGAGTCCTCCACCAAACTTCGAGCCACAGGCTGCTGACGACGTATGACATAAATGCTTGGATCAGACAAACACGCCAAACAAATGAACAATAAAACCAGATCTTAAATTGGAAACTCAGTGCACAGTATGCTGTCAGTTGATACGGGGAGTTGAAATGGAGAGTGTAAAGTGTGTAAAGAGGGCATGTGCAGGGAGAAGGGGGATGGGGCACCGGAAGGTAGCGCTGGTGGTTGGGCAGGGCGACAATTGGTTCGGACACTCACGGAGCAGGGATCGCGTCCGCAACAGTGGGCAGGAGAAGATGGGTGTTTCTGATGACGCGCGCAGGACGGCAGGTGTGTGCACAGTGCTATACTCATTACTGGGGCCTGGGTTGGGTGGGTATCTGTTCAGCAGGCTCGGGTAGTGTTATCGGGAAGCTGCACTAAGGAGCGTGGTGAGGAGAAGTTTAGAACCGTTCAGTCAGGCAAGCCTACCACACATTGTGCGCAGGGGCTGCGTTATCGCGTTGTGGGCCAGCTGTGTTGAATCACATATGTTGACATAGCAATGCCCCCACTATTACCCATGCAAGGTACCCTCGGGAACAGCGGGAACCTTATGACGATCGAGGTTCGTGTTCCTATGAAACTAAGATTAGGTGGGCACAGTGGGCAGTGGGGACATAAGCAACGTGTTGGGGACAGGAATTCAGGGCTAGCGAACTGCGGGTGGGAGTACGAGCTAAGCATGACTATGCGATCCCGTTGTGCTAATCCCATTGAGCACGCAGGAGGTGCGTAAACCGATTTCGCCACTTCACGCCACTTCACGCCACTTGAAGTGGCATGAAGTGGCATGAAGTGGCATGCTCACGGTGCGACCGCCACTTGAAGTGGCATGAAGTGGCATGCTCACGGTGCGACACGCCACTTGAAGTGGCATGAAGTGGCATGAAGTGGCATGCTCACGGTGTGACACGCCACTTGAAGTGGCCACTTGAAGTGGCACTTGAAGTGGCATGCGCACGGTGTGCACGCCACTTGAAGTGGCATGCGCCACTTGAAGTGGCATGAAGTGGCATGCTCACGGTGGGACATTACGACTACGACTACTGTTACGACGACGCGTACTACTATTACTACTACTACTACTACTACCACCACTACTACTACTACTACTACGACGGATACGGATACGGCGACTTCTACTACTACAACAACAACGACAACAACAACAACAACTACTACTACTACTACTACGACAGCTACGACTACTTCTACTACTGCTACTACTACTACTGCTACTATACTACCACTACTACTACTACGACGACGACGGCTACGGCTACTTCTACTACTACTACTACTACTACTACTACTACCACTACTACTACTACGACGACGACGGCTACGGCTACTTCTACTACTGCAACTACTACTACTACTACTACTACTACTACGACTACTACTACTACGACTACTACTACGACGACTACTACTACTACTACTACGACGACGACGACGACGGCTACGGCTACTTCTACTACTGCAACTACTACTACTACTACTACTACTACTACTACTACTACTACTACCACTACCACTACCACTACCACTACCACTACCACTACCACTACTACTACTACTACTACTACGACGACGGCTACTACTACTACGACAGCTACGACTACTTCTACTACTGCTAGTAGCGTGAAGTAGCGAAATCGGTTTACGCACCTCCTTCGTGCTCAATGGATTTACTGAAATAAAACCATACAGTAGATGAGGAAATCCAACTACATATAATCAACTACGTCTCCGGCTTCCAGTGCCAGAGAAGCGTCGCATTTCTTGTTGATCAACAGAGTGACAAGACACTTACATGGCTTTTCTCACAAGTGTCAGGGGAAAATGAAGGTAGAGATAGGATAAATTGTACCCACAGAACAAATTGTAATGCTGAACCCCAGATTTCTAAGTAGTAACCAACTTAGGAAAAACTCGAGGTGAGAAACCCTTCAAATTGGAGCTGCATTTGTGACAGTGTTTAGGTTCGCACAGGTTTGCACTATCCCATGGAAGCTTTTGGTCCTGCATCCACTGCCTTTTGTTGGCTTCAGCAACCTCGCCGAGCTTGTGCGAACTTGACATGTTTCGGCCCCGTTGCGTCTTTCACGATCCATTCGCTCCGTGCCTTCAGCAAAAAAATAAGTCAGGGGCTCAGTGAACAGCATCGGTTCTCGATGCACAGGGAGTTGGAGTAAGTGGTTGTACCGGGCTTACCAGGTGTGCCATTGGGCCGAGGCAATGTGGCTTTGTGACTTCTGGCAGATCTTGACTTGCCAAGGGTTTGATCCTCAGATCAGAGGTTGATGATGACAAGGTAAACATCCACTATTTCAATTTGCTGGTGCAAACTGCTGTGGTAAGCCTAATAATAAACCTACCATTTGGGGTGATTCAACTATCTATTTATGGTCATATATGGGATGGTTTATAATGCGGTTTAATGCTCTCGGATGCCACTCTGTGTTCGGCCTTTGGTGTCCTCCAGCAGGTTTCTGGAGCAGATCACTGAACTGCTGGCTGAGGCTGTGACTGCTTGGTTTACAGCTTGTTTGATTGGGTCTCAAAGTATGATGCAGATTATTTTACCATGATGCAGATAATTATCGAAGGACGTTTAGAAGTCAAACTTCCAACAATATGGACAGATGAAAAGCAGAGATGGGAAGAGTCAGAGAGAAGAGAAGAGTAGAAGAGAGCAGATGAGAGAAGAGAAAGAGTCAGAAGAAAGAAGATGCAGACGCGCGAAAAAGGTAGGAAACGCGCGAAACACTGTGTTTTTCCAATGATTTGTGGCTCCGGAGAGTCGAAAAGTACGCTCGCTGAAGCGGCGGGTGGGGAGCCGGTTGGCAGATGAGAAATGAAAAATTGCACGCCGTTGTGACGCGACTACACTACACTACACGACACGACACGACACTACACACAACACACTACACACTACACCATGCCACACCACACCACACTCAATTACATTACACTACACTACCCTACCCCGCATTGCGTTACATTACGTTACATTGCATTACATTACCCTACATTCACTACACCACCACAAATGCAACTGCAACTACACTACACTAATTACACTACACCACAATTACAGCTCCACTACACTACAACTACAGCTGCACTACACCACACTACATCGAGCAGTTGTGGGTGAGGTGACCGACCTGGTGACCACTGCAACCATTGCAACCACTCCAAAAAACACAGCTCCAATCCCCTGTCGGTCCATCAGTGGATTTGCTCTGCCATCCGTGATTCACAGAAACTAATCTCTCCTATAGGTTTCCTATTTTTGACACTTCCGCCACCGCCTTGTGCAGCACTACTGATATGTATATATATATATAATAATAATAATTTCACAATATTATCTCTCTCTATATATCTATGTATATATATATATGTGTGTGTACACATGATTATTAGTTTATACGTATACAATTCCCAAGGGCTTTGATTTGGATTCCGTCAATTTCCTCAACAACTTCAAGCTGACACTGGCCAGGTAGCCTATCTGTAGTGTGCGACTACTGTTGATTCACTTGATTACTATTTACAATCTTTGATAGTTTTGATGTGACATTTGGGACTCACATCAACATTGCACGCTACACATTGAGTTTTTTTAAACTTGAGTTTTGACAATAATTTCAACCAAAACCTGGAGTGGGTGACCTTGCCATCGAGGCTTCTAAGCTTGAGTTTTGTCATTACTTTCAACCAAAGACTGGAGCAGTTGACCTTGCCATCGAGTTATTAAAGTTTGAATTTCGTCCATAATTTCCACCAAAACCTGAGCCAGTTTTGACATTGCCATCGAGTCCTCAAAGTCTGAGATTTGGCTTCTAGGCGTGAGTTTTGGCCTCAATTTCAATCAAAACCTGGAGCAGTTGACCTCGTCATCGAGTTTTGAAAACAGCAGCCATGAGCACCAATTATGTGCAATGATCGCCATTGAATGATTCGAATGTTAGGTATGCGACATGCGTTATCCTCTCCTAATCCTGTATGGGTGGTTTCTTAATGCTTTATACTCTTTCACTATAACCCTTCTTTCTATGTGCTACTCATCCTCAACTCACAATTCCACAAACCATTCAGGATATGTGCTCTTAACCATTACCTTACGGTACTACTAACTGTTCAGAGTGCTACTTGGAAGTATACACACTAGTAGACCTGCTAGCATGGCACACTCTTGGCCATGGTCGCAGGGCATGGCGCAAGAGGAAGATGACCCGCAGGATTCCAGAGACATGGTTTTGCACACGCCCGGCTGGGGCAATGAAGCTTGGCCTCCAGCTTGGCTGCCCGCGCCGATACGGCCTATGCGCGGCAGTGTTGGGAGATTTTCGGCTGCAGCTGTCAGCTCCAGGGAAGAGTGCAACAATGCCCAGGACTTTTTTGGAGATTTACCGGTGTCAGACCGTGTGGGCCACGACAAGACGGGTGTCGGTTACAAGGATCCGTCTCTTGCAACAAACCGGTCACTTGCGTTGCCGTCATCTTCGAGCACTTTGCCCGTAGACTTGCAAAGCACGAATACGATATCGTTGTTGGTCGCAAATGTCGGCTTCATCGATCGCAGCCGGCGCTTTTCTGATTTCATAGCAGGCAATTTTTCGGTCGTCCTTCTTCAAGAAGCTCACTCCTGTGGCATCTCGCACCGAATTGCAAAAGCACGGGACATGTGCATCTTAGAGGGTCTAGGCCGGGTTGGATCATGCATGGCTGTCCTAGCTGGACAGACAGGGACAAAGTATCTCAGCCGTATATATCCGACCTGGGATGGATTGATGGAGCGACCCTACAAGGATTCGGCCAAACAAGGTGATCGCATCCATTCATTAGTTTGCCTGTCTGCGGAGGTGCAATGGGTCAATGAAGCGAACGGTGGAGTTATATCTCGAGCCGGCCTCAGTTCCTTCCGGGTTACCACAGTGCACGTCCACAACGACGAGAAGCGTTCCGTCGAGTCGTGCAAGCTTGCATTAAAGACACTATTTTGGTTGGCGCTCCGAGACAAACATCGTGTCGTTGCAGGCGACTTCAACCTAGAACCCCAGGCTATTCGTGATGCAGTGGATTGTGTTATCGAACAGTTCGAGGGAGCGAGTTACGAGGTTCTACATGGTGATCGCAGCGCGGAGATCTGTTGCGTGCTGCTGAATTTCGCCAAGTTGCCTCAGCTGCGAGGCGCAGTGAAAGGCGCGGTGGCGGAGCGCTGGACAAGTGAGGAGTTGAGACTTTCAGACAACGATGCTGATTCACACTATCCCCTCATTCTTGAACTTTCCCCTCTGGAGCTGCGTGAGGGTGACTTGCGTAAGCGATCCGCGGAAGCGGCTGCCAAGCGAGCGCAGAAGAAGTCGAAACGATCGTGGACGAAAAATAGCCGGAGTGGGGCTGCAAAGAGACTTACGTGCATAGATATATGTCATATCACATTTGCATCTATCTACCTAAATAGATTTCTATGTATATATGTGAAATTCAAGGTATCTGGATCTAAATTCAAGGTATCTGGATCCAAATCTGGTTGAGGGCTACTACTGGGATGGAAGCCCTGAAGATCCAGCGCTATTGAAATGTTGAAGGTATGGTGTTTTTTCTCTTGTAATTTGCTTAATTTTGAATGTTTGACAGGAATTCGAGGTTTTTTTGGACCCACTCAAATCTGCAAGTATTTCCCTTCAAATCCACTTCATTTTGATTCTTGGATTCCTGGGGTTTCGCCAGCGACACCAACGTGGCAGGTCGGGGCACTCACACCGTAAAAGATCCGGATGAGGCCAGCAAAGGCGGTGTTCCTCAGACCTGACAGTCATTTTGAATGTCGAATGCAGTTGCACCTCCATGTCATAAATGTGGTAAACCCAAGACCAATTCCATACAATTCGGACTTATTTATTGTTTAACCATGCTCATTTTGGGTTTGACTCAAATTTGACTAATAACAAATAACCATTGATAAATTGTACCCACAGAACAAATTGTAATGCTGAACCCCAGATTTCTAAGTAGTAACCAACTTAGGAAAAACTCGAGTTGAGAAACCCTTCAAATTGGAGCTGCATTTGTGACAGTGTTTAGGTTCGCACAGGTTTGCACTATCCCATGGAAGCTTTTGGTCCTGCATTCACTGCATCCACTGCCTTTTGTTGGCTTCAGCAACCTCGCCGAGCTTGTGCAAACTTGACATGTTTCCCGTGGTCTTGGCGCAAGCTGAAACATTTTCGATGTTGACAAGTCAAAAGTTCTGCAAATGTTTGTCTCACGCTTTTGCTTTCTCTCTTGATCTCTGGGAATCTGTTCGCAACGGCCCCGTTGCGTCTTTCACGATCCATTCGCTCCGTGCCTTCAGCAAAAAAATAAGTCAGGGGCTCAGTGAACAGCATCGGTTCTCGATGCACAGGGAGTTGGAGTAAGTGGTTGTACCGGGCTTACCAGGTGTGCCATTGGGCCGAGGCAATGTGGCTTTGTGACTTCTGGCAGATCTTGACTTGCCAAGGGTTTGATCCTCAGAGGAGAGGTTGATGATGACAAGGTAAGCATCCACTATTTCAATTTGCTGGTGCAAACTGCTGTGGTAAGCCTAATAATAAACCTACCATTTGGGGTGATTCAACTATCTATTTATGGTCATATATGGGATGGTTTATAATGCGGCTTAATGCTCTCGGATGCCACTCTGTGTTCGGCCTTTGGTGTCCTCCAGCAGGTTTCTGGAGCAGAACACTGAACTGCTGGCTGAGGCTGTGACTGCTTGGTTTACAGCTTGTTTGATTGGGTCTCAAAGTATGATGCAGATTATTTTACCATGATGCAGATAATTATCGAAGGACGTTTAGAAGTCAAACTTCCAACAATATGGACAGATGAAAAGCAGAGATGGGAAGAGTCAGAGAGAAGAGAAGAGTAGAAGAAAGAAGATGCAGACGCGCGAAAAAGGTAGGAAACGCGCGAAACACTGTGTTTTTCCAATGATTTGTGGCTCCGGAGAGTCGAAAAGTACGCTCGCTGAAGCGGCGGGTGCGGAGCCGGTTGGCAGATGAGAAATGAAAAATTGCACGCCGTTGTGACGCGACTACACTACACTACACGACACGACACGACACTACACACAACACACTACACACTACACCATGCCACACCACACCACACTCAATTACATTACACTACACTACCCTACCCCGCATTGCGTTACATTACCTTACATTGCATTACATTACCCTACATTCACTACACCACCACAAATGCAACTGCAACTACACTACACTAATTACACTACACCACAATTACAGCTCCACTACACTACAACTACAACTACAGCTGCACTACACCACACTACATCGAGCAGTTGTGGGTGAGGTGACCGACCTGGTGACCACTGCAACCATTGCAACCACTCCAAAAAAACACAGCTCCAATCCCCTGTCGGTCCATCAGTGGATTTGCTCTGCCATCCGTGATTCACAGAAACTAATCTCTCCTATAGGTTTCCTATTTTTGACACTTCCGCCACCGCCTTGTGCAGCACTACTGGTATGTATATATATATATAATAATAATTTCACAATATTATCTCTCTCTATATCTATGTATATATATATATGTGTGTGTACACATGATTATTAGTTTATACGTATACAATTCCCAAGGGCTTTGATTTGGATTCCGTCAATTTCCTCAACAACTTCAAGCTGACACTGGCCAGGTAGCCTATCTGTAGTGTGCGACTACTGTTGATTCACTTGATTACTATTTACAATCTTTGATAGTTTTGATGTGACATTTGGGACTCACATCCACATTGCACGCTACACATTGAGTTTTTTAAACTTGAGTTTTGACAATAATTTCAACCAAAACCTGGAGTGGGTGCTATATATGAATATCTATAACTGCACATGCAGATAGATATTCATGAGCACCCACAGATGCCACAGTTGGGACGAGAGTCACCGGTTGACATGAGGGGCTTTCAGGGCACATGGTGCTTTCAGGGCTGAACAGTTGCCACCTATCTGGTGGTTGAGAGGCAACTTTCCATCGCCCCTTACCTCTCCATCATCGCAGCGAATGTGGCGCAGCAGGACTCACCAGGTCCTGGTCATCATTGAGTCATCCATTTTCATAGGGTGTGAATGGAAGTTTAATATGGATTCAAGTGGATCTATTTGGATCTATTTGGATCTATGGAGTTGATACAATCCATTTTCATGGGGAAATTCTGTATAGTTTAAACTTCTTCTATATAGATTATTAAGCTTATACAATCCCCATGACATATATCTATAGCCATTAATCGGCGATTCCTAAACTTCTTCAGCCCAGGAGCTGACGCTGCCCTGCCTGGCTCACGTCTTGGGGGAGCCTGAGACATTTCTGCCTCTTGGCTCCATACGACCAGCAGGTCTGGACGCAAATCGGATGAGATGTTTACGACCATGTGTGGTATATAGCCAATAAATAGGAATAAACCATATCCCCAGTATATCCCCAAATGTTGGCCATAAATTTGGCCTGAGGTTAATGTGGTTTTATCGGATTTTACAATGATCTTTTGGGGGTTTCATATATAGCCCTTTGGTGATCCAACCATGGAGGTCTTTATAGGGAAAAACATGTTTCAGCACCGGAGAGGAACTGGGTTGTACGCACTTGGTACAGTAACTGGGATTCAGGGATTCTGTATCCAAGAATGATGTGATGTCACAGTAGATACAAGTGGTAATGATATAACTTGAGTATAACTGTATATACAGAACTCCAATCGTGGGAAGATCACTGATTGTCCAGTGTAGCGATGATATCAAGTGGCTGGGTTTCTCAGTTTCTCCAAAGCCAAGGAGCACTTACGCCAACGGCCTCTCTGCTGGAATGGATGTCCCTGCTGTTCCAGTGGGATAGATGTATAAAATCAGATCACGTAGGATATTATGAGATGTATCTATCAGTCACATATGTGGTGTCCAGTGTTGCGGGTTCCAGCTAGAGAGGTTCCAATTTGGTTCCACCCACAAAGGGTCGTTCCAACTCATCTCCCAGGTCACATCTCCAATCTGCTCAGCGCTGCCTGGCTGGCCCCGGGTCTGGAACATTTGGTGTGCCTGCAGGCACCAACCCTCATCGCCCCCCAATCCATCGTTGGGTTTCCCCATATTTTGTTGGGACTTCAAGTCAGATCAAATCATATTTCACCCGAAAGTCAGATCAAGTCTCAGTTCCCCATATGTTTTCCCCACATTTTTTTGGGAGTTCTCAGAGTTCTCCAGCTCCCCCGGCCATCTTCGCCCCAGGACTTCACCTTGCACCTCAGCGGCTGCTGCACCCTGCGCCGCTTCGGCTGCGCCGCGTCGCTGCCGCGCACCCTGCGACGCTTCGAGCTGGGCCTGGACAGCTGCGAACGGCTGCAGGATGCCACGGAGCTGCTGCGGGGAATCGGCCCCTTGGACGCGAACCATCGAGGGGTGAACACGCGGTGAAGCAATGGTTGGAATATGGCAGTGTGTCAAAACCAATAGTACCCCTGTAGTTCACATGAAAATAGCTGGTAAATGGATGTTCATCCCCCTAAAAATGGTATTAATAGGTATTGATCCATACCCATCTGTTGGAATGGGGTACAGCTTCAAAGAAACCCAGCCTTCGGAGGTGTTATGTTTGTTTATATCAATTGAATTACGTATAGCAATATATCTGGGAGTTGTTGGTCATGTTTGATGAGAGAACAAATTTTGGTTGAAGGGGCTACCACAATTCTGAGAAAAACCCATTTGGGTATGGGTCAATTTAGCGGGCTATAGTTAGAAGTGTGAGAGCGCTGGTTGATGGGTGGTTGTCTCATAGTCATGAGTGAGAAGGAGCAAGCGCAATATCTCACAAAACAGTGGGGATTACTGGGGATTTCACTAGCACTTAAGAAGATATGACCAACGCAGTTGAGGATTTCATTTCCAATGGGTTATGTTGGTGAATCGATACCCCCAGCTGAGTGACAACCCGGGTTCTCGATGGAATCCAGTCGTTTTCACTGCAGGGGGACCCACCGAGAACGGGAAGGTTCAGGGGAACATATCCATGACTCGCACATGGGAGTGCGGTTGGGGTTATAAATGGCTGTAACTGGGGTATACTTGGGTAATGACATCCGGAAGTTGGGATGTGGTCCCTCCGTAACTATGGTTATATATAATATAACTGGAACTGCACCCCCAAGTAGTGAAAATCCCCCTGGTGCAATTTTTTCACCGCTGTTCAGGTGATTTAATGCAGCTGACCTCCCTTCGCCTTTCCATGTCGGGATGCAAAGGCGGTGGCTGTTTGATTGGGATTCTGTTTGGAGCCACCATGGGTGTACTTCTTCCAGAAAGATCATAGGTAGGCACGTAGGTTCATACACACAAACAGAATATATTGCACTAGCAACAAGCACAGCATAATTCGCAAATCATTTGGGGACTTGGAGGTTTGCTGCTGGATTCTGACTTGGTTCTGCTGGGCAAAAGCCTACGGCAACTTCAAGAGCTGCAGTGCCATGGTGATCCATGGTGGGGGCTATCCCGCAGGGGGCTTACCATTGGGAAAATTGAAGGCGTAGCAGTCCTACCAGTCATAGTCTGGTCATTATGAAGAGCAGAGACTGAGTAGAATGATATCTTAGTTTCGGTGGCCCAAGCCTGAACGACTCTGAAAATTAGATATGGCTCAAACGTATGTTACCTCCACATGGGATGAACATGTAGAGAACTACAGACTGTGTCGCTCCAGACCTCTCAACACTTTGTGTCTACACAAGTTACACTTGTGAGATGTGATCACAAATTTATTTCACCGTGATTTCTTGATACCCAATGGTCCAGGAAAACGGCTGGCTCACCGGCCCAAGCTGGTAATAGCTGTAATAACCTTACTATTTTTCCCTAGTCTTTGCACATCACTTCCAACTCCCCCCTTTATTTTCCCTAGTAGCACTGGTGGATTTCCCTGCAACTCACTTCAGCCAAAATCATTCCATGATGGACCATGATGGACCATGATGGATGGACCATGGATCCAGGCATTTGTCCTTGAACTTCTCCGGAACCAAGCGGCTCTTTTACCTCATCGAGCTGGGTCGAAGTATTCGTTACCTACGTCAGCTGCATGAGCTCTTGAGCCGCAACGACACGAGGGAGCGAGGGGGCGACTTGGGAGGGGTGGTAACCCATTAGGTGGGGATTGATGTCTATCTTTATCTATTACTATCACTATTATTACCATGATATTTACAGAAATTGACAGTATATAATAGTCACAACTATTATTTTATGTTCTTTTGAAGGAACATCAATAGGGTCTGATGCCATCATTGTAGGTACTCGTGTCACTGGCGCATGTATTGGCTGCCACCATTAGCAGCCTTTTGAGATTACTCGAAAAAACGATGCAGACAAAATGAACTTGGTGTCCCAGTATTTAAATTCACCAAGAAATGGAGTTTGGGAGTTACACAGTACTTGAGCAATTGGCAACTCTCCGAGAGCATCACGTGTGATTGGGTTTCAGATTTAAGAGCCCCCAGCCAACAGAGCTTGAGCATTTTGAGTTGTGAACCATCCATGCAACACTGGAGTATGGAATAATTTGCCCAATACTCGGCTCACATGACTTATACGTGGGCGATCTTGCTGTGGTTGCTGGCTGTTGGTTATCCTTTGGTTGTTGCTGAATCACTCGTTGAGCGGCCACACACACATATTTATGTAGTGTACGTTTACACGGACATTGCTCACCTGGGCAACAGCGTGCGCATCTTGCTGGAGGGACCCCTCCGCAGCTCTGAGGACGTCCCCGGCAGCTTCTCCTTGAAGTTGGACAAGTCGGGTGTGCGCATCAACCGGGCCCCTGGGCAGGGACGATGGGGTGCCGTTCAGCAAGAAAGAAGGGGGCTGAACTAGCAGAAAAAGGGGATTTAACCGCGGAAAATGATGGATAAAACATGAAACATGATTGAAGTTCAGGTTTAAACACGAAAAATGAAAAAATGGAGTGTGAAGCGATAATTATATAGATGATGTATCAATGAGGGGGGGTCAAACCAGACAAGATCATGGGGATGCTATGGGGATGGGGGTCGGAAGGCTTAACGCAATGGTGACGTGTGGGCATGTTATGTGGGATGCGGGGATTTTTGGTCGGGATACACCGTGTTTCCGAAATTTTACTAGGCCTTTGGCTTGCACAACCTCTTCCAAGTTCTTATTTTTTCGGTTCTCCCATGTATTTTGGAACACTTCAAAAAGTTTCAAGTTGGTTGTTGGTGGCCTTTCGATTGAAAACCAAGCGGGGTAAGCCCAGTAGGATCGGTATTCTTTTTAAACTTATCGGGAGGTGTGAGAATTAGAGCTTTTCTTAAAAAATCAACAAGTCTTTTTGAACTCCAGAATCCAATGGAATTAATCCCTCCGATCCCAATAATTCGGCTCCGCCGGCTCCCCACGAGTGGCTTGCCCCACGAGCGTCCCACAGCGACTAGAGCTCTAAGGTGAGGCGCGCCCCGAGCCGCCGACCCTCCGACGCCGGGCCCCGAAAAACACCAAAAATCCTTCAGGAGGGTGGGGGAAAGCTTTTTGGCCGGAATCCGGGTCGCTCATAAGCGTCTCCAAGAGCAAAATCCCGCCCCCCCCCGTTTTGAGGGTACCTAAAATCGAAAAAAAGTGTCGTTTTGACACATTTTTCGGACGATTTTCAGCTTTTCGAAATGGGCACAATGCTGTAAATTACAGCATTTTTGCGTTTTAACGTCTTTTGCGGGAGCAATGCAAAAACGCAGAAAATGCTGTAAATACCAATACTTTTTTGACCCGAGATGCACAAAACACTGCAAATACCAGTGTTTTTGAAAGCCAAGCCAAAAAACACTGTAAATTACAGCATTTTTGGCAAGTTGATCGCAAAAAATGCTGGTATTTACACTGTTTTTGCAATTTCAAGAAAACGTGGAAGGCACGAAACACTGTAAATAGCAGTGTTTTAGCCACTTTTGGACGCTGAAACGCTGGTATTTACACAGTTTTTTGCCCGTGACGGCGCCAAACCCCTGTAAATTACATTTTTTTTTGCACTTGTTGAACCGATTTTTTGCCTTGATGAACGCAAAAAACGCTGGTATTTACGCGTTTCCCAAAAAATCGAAGATCGTGACGTGAACGAAACCCTGTAAATAACAGTGTTTTAGCCACTTTGGGGGACTAAAACTGTGGTATTTACGCGGGTTCTTGCCAGCTGACAGCGCAATATGCTGTAAATTACAGCACTTTGTGCGCTGTTTATGTTCAATTTTTAAACGCGCGATGCTTTCACATGTTCTTTGCATTATTTTGCACTCTTCCACAAGAAACAACGTTGCAGATTGAAACTGGACGACAGCGTGACCCGAAAGAAAGCTGGAGGGAGGAGACGCACAGAAGCTTTTACCCACACACACAGGGGCTTTTACACAGAGAAGTCTTTACACAAAGGAGCTTTTTACATACAGAAGGTTTTACACAGAGAAGTCTTTACTCTAAGGTGCTTTTGCAGACCAACGTCTAGGAGCTTTTACTCACAGAAGTTTTTACACGAAGAAGTCTTTACACAGAGGGCTTTTTACACACAGACGCGTTTGCACACAGAAGCTTTTACACAGAGAAGCCTTTACACAGAGGAGCGTTTACACACCAAAGCGTTTACACACAGCAAGTTTTTACACACGCAGGGGCTTTTAGACAGAGAAGCCTTTACACAGAGTAGCTTTTTACACACAGAAGGTTTTCCACAGAGAAGTCTTTCCTCTGCGGAGCTTTTTCACACAAACGTCTTGGAGCTTTTACACACAAAAGCTGTTACACAAAGGAGTCTTTACACAGAGAGCTTTAACACACAGACGCGTTTACACACAGAAACTTTTACACAGAGAAGCCTTTACACAGAGAGTGTTTACACACGGAAGCTTTTACACACAGAGAAATCTTTACACAGACGAGCTTTCACACAAAGAAGCTTTCACACAAAGAAGTCTTTACACAGAGAATCTTACTTTTACACACAAAAGCTTTTACACAGAGAAGTCTTTGCACAGAGGCGCCTTTACACGAAGTAACAAGTTGAAATCGGCAGCAGTTCTTTAGGAAAAACCCTTCGCAGGAGCTTTCGGGAACTCACTTGCTCCCCAAAAAACGTCTATTCCAACAAATATATTCCAAAAAACCTAAGGAATATACTTATTTCTGAAGCAGGTCCTCATTCAGTAACTTTCACGCCCTCACTGCGATGAAATGGAGGGCCGAGTGGTCCGGCGGAGCCGACGAGGGGCGTCAGCCCAAAATAGCACGCCTGGGTTTCTGAGGGCATTTCGTTTTTCGGAGCATTTCGGGATAGGGTTCCTCCAGTTACCAACGCCCAAGGAGAAGGTGGTGGGCTATGACAGCGCGGGTGCATTTGTAAAGGCCCTGGGTATCAGGGCGCTCTCAGATCCGGAGGATGCTGAGGGACCTCCCGTGGAAACAGAACGTGCCTCCATTACCTTACGGTACTACTAACTGTTCAGAGTGCTACTTGGAAGTATACACACTAGTAGACCTGCTAGCATGGCACACTCGTGGCCATGGTCGCAGGGCATGGCGCAAGAGGAAGATGACCCGCAGGATTCCAGAGACATGGTTTTGCACACGCCCGGCTGGGGCAATGAAGCTTGGCCTCCAGCTTGGCTGCCCGCGCCTGCCCGCGCCGATACGGCCCATGCGCGGCAGTGTTGGGAGATTTTCGGCTGCAGCTGTCAGCTCCAGGGATGGGTGCAACAGTGTCAGACCGTGTGGGCCACGATAAGACGGGTGTCGGTTACAAGGATCCGTCTCTTACAACAAACCGGTCACTTGCGTTGCCGTCATCTTCGAGCACTTTGCCCGTAGACTTGCAAAGCACGAATACGATATCGTTGTTGGTCGCAAATGTCGACTTCATCGATCGCAGCCGGCGCTTTTCTGATTTCATAGCAGGCAATTTTTCGGTCGTCCTTCTTCAAGAAGCTCACTCCTGTGGCATCTTACACCGAATTGCAAAAGCACGGGACATGTGCATCTTAGAGGGTCTAGGCCGGGTTGGGTCATGCAGCTGCCAAGCGAGCGCAGAAGAAGTCGAAACGATCGTGGACGAAAAATAGCCGGAGTGGGGCTGCAAAGAGACTTACGTGCATAGATATATGTCATATCACATTTGCATCTATCTACCTAAATAGATTTCTATGTATATATGTGAAATTCAAGGTATCTGGATCTAAATTCAAGGCATCTGGATCCAAATCTGGATGAGGGCTACTACTGGGATGGAAGCCCTGAAGATCCAGCGCTATTGAAATGTTGAAGGTATGGTGTTTTTTCTCTTGTAATTTGCTTAATTTTGAATGTTTGACAGGAATGCGAGGTTTTTTGGACCCACTCAAATCTGCAAGTATTTCCCTTCAAATCCACTTCATTTTGATTCTTGGATTCCTGGGGTTTCGCCAGCGACACCAACGTGGCAGGTCGGGGCACTCACACCGTAAAAGATCCGGATGAGGCCGGCAAAGGCGGTGTTCCTCAGACCTGACAGTCATTTTGAATGTCGAATGCAGTTGCACCTCCATGTCATAAATGTGGTAAACCCAAGACCAATTCCATACAATTCGGACTTATTTATTGTTTAACCATGCTCATTTTGGGTTTGACTCAAATTTGACTAATAACAAATAACCATTGATAAATTGTACCCACAGAACAAATTGTAATGCTGAACCCCAGATTTCTAAGTAGTAACCAACTTAGGAAAAACTCGAGTTGAGAAACCCTTCAAATTGGAGCTGCATTTGTGACAGTGTTTAGGTTCGCACAGGTTTGCACTATCCCATGGAAGCTTTTGGTCCTGCATCACTGCATCCACTGCCTTTTGTTGGCTTCAGCAACCTCGCCGAGCTTGTGCGAACTTGACATGTTTCCCGTGGTCTTGGCGCAAGCTGAAACATTTTCGATGTTGACAAGTCAAAAGTTCTGCAAATGTTTGTCTCACGCTTTTGCTTTCTCTCTTGATCTCTGGGAATCTGTTCGCAACGGCCCCGTTGCGTCTTTCACGATCCATTCGCTCCGTGCCTTCAGCAAAAAAAAAGGTCAGGGGCTCGGTGAATAGCATCGGTTCTCGATGCACAGGGAGTTGGAGTAAGTGGTTGTACCGGGCTTACCAGGTGTGCCATTGGGCCGAGGCAATGTGGCTTTGTGACTTCTGGCAGATCTTGACTTGCCAAGGGGCTGATCCTCAGAGGAGAGGTTGATGATGACAAGGTAAGCATCCACTATTTCAATTTGCTGGTGCAAACTGCTGTGGTAAGCCGAATAATAAACCTACCATTTGGGGTGATTCAACTATCTATTTATGGTCATATTCGCAGACATCGGTTCCTCGGCATATGACATACCCGGTGGAAAATCACTAATTTCATTAGGTAAATCAATAATAAATGGGTAATTTTGCATAGTTATGTTAGTTCACCGGAGGGTATTTGAAGACTGCCAAGAGGCTCTGAGTAGTGCATCATTTGCGATATTGGTAAAGTTTGAGCCCTGATCTAGTGAGGTTCGTCATTAGGGCCTGGTTGCGAAGCATCCACACACACAACTAAGAGTGACAGGCATGGAAGACCCACTGATGATAAAATATGATAAAATGCTATGGTCCGGTTAAAAGATACCTGAGAGAGATGTAAGTTGGCAATTCAATCGTCAGTTACAAACAATGAATTCCCAGTTCATCACCGGTTGTTTCATATATGGCAACCCCCCAGTCATAGATAGAAAAGTCGCAAAAGCCTTTAGATTCTGAGGAGGAAACCACCTCTTTTTCACCTCCTGGCTGTCCTTTTGTTGTTAAAGAATGATTTCGAAAAACCTGGACCTTGACCTTGCCTCGTTGGAAAACCTCAACCCCCGGGGCCCCCGGCCGAAAAAAAGGCTGAGACCTTCCGCTGCTTTTACCGTGGAATGGTGGATAGCATCATCGCCCACTTTCTGCTGAAACGCCGACCGGAGCTGGATGACCGGAATCCCTTGGAGCAATATGCGGCTTGGGTTGGCACTGCAGCACGCAAAGGGTTAGCAGAAATCCCGCACCAGGCGGGTATACAAGCGTGTCTACTAATAGTGACCCAGTTTTATACGCACTGAATCCACGCTCTCAATATGAAACCTGCAAATATTGGGACTATGACGGGAGAAACCATCTACCAACTGGTGCGGAATTTATTCCATACAGTATCTAGGTGAATTCTATGGTGTTTCACTTATCGCTAGACAAAGACTGTCTATAATCCAAACTAGTATCAACTAATGTGAATTCTACGGTGTGTGGAAATGAGCTATAACATGCTATAACTATGGTTGACATCGGTGACTGATAAAGGATGATAAAGGTACGACACGAAAACTAATGTGGTAAACCCCATGCCATAATCCACCCCCAATAGAGGGGTTTATGATGCGCCTAGGCCCTAGGAATGGGATGATATCTATTCTTACCCCTTTTATGGTTGGTAAATGGGATTGTTTATGGCATTGGGTTTGCCACACTAGGCGAGTTCAAAGGTGTATGGTGGCTAATATCTATGGTTGAAATTGGTAACTGATAAGCAAAACTAGGCGAATTCTTCGGTTCATAATGGGCATATCAAGCCTATGGTGTTTATAAATCAAGAAATCGACCTCGAAACACCTTGTGACCAGCGGAACCTCAAAACATGAACCACTTGCTCTCCACCATGCGTGGGAGGGAACTGTGGATCATGTTTGGTTCTTGGTTTCAAACAATCCTAAACGACTTTGATCCGAATGACCTCCTTGCGCTTCAGGCCTGAGTGCTGATATCCCCAGTTTTGGGTCTCAACACTCCATGTTTCTGTTTCAATCCTTATTTTAAGGTTCATCATCCAACCCATTATAGGTAGATGATTCAGTAGATGATAGCAACTTTTGGGGTGGAATTTGGCCACCTGACCAATCTCTATCTACCCCATTTTCGCCGCTCGTATGTGGGGTGTTGAGAGCAACCTTGATTCATATCATCAACCATCATGGTGATTGAGGGCGGGCATGTTGATTATATCGAAAAAATATCCATGAGATATCCCTACCCATACATTTCCCATGCGTTCCCCTCTTGGTTGTGCATCACACTTAGTAAGTAATTAAAACCCATATATCACCCATATATTCCATTAATTATAATCCCATACGTACGAAGGGATATTCCATTACTGGTTGGTTCTGGAGCATTTTTTTCCATATATTTGGGGATTATAATCCCAACTGACTAATATTTTTCAGAGGGGTAGGTCAACCATCAATCAGATTATATAATCTAACTGGTTTTTGTTCACCCCTTTACGAAATGGGATGCACCCCCCAGCAGGCCGGGGACCACGGCCTTGGTTCCCCAGGTGGTCGTGTTGGACGTAAGGGGCGCCGTCCGGCAGAACTTTTCCATGACGGCGATTAAACTGATGATCCAAGATCCTCGCAATGGCTATGGTGGTTACCCTCTGGTAATGTCAAAATAGCTATTGAACATGGTCATTTATAGTGGGTTTACCCATCAAAATGGTGATTTTCCGTAGTCATGTTAGTTTACCAGAGGGTAATCATGGTTAGTAAGAATGGTTATTGTGGTGATTAGTGGTCAATAATGGTGTGAACTGAATAAGTTAATATATATATATATATATTTTATGTATAGTGATTATTGATGATTATTGTTGATTATTTCAATAGTAGTCATTGTGGTGATTAGTACCAGGCCAAAAATGTTTGGCCACCTATGAAAATAGATGAATTAGCTAGTGAATACGACCATTTTCCATGGCTGAATAACCAGAGGCTAACTTAACATATACAATATTGAATCATGAAAAATCGTGACAAAGGGGCGCTCTATGTATCAAATGGGTCACTATTATGGAATATATATATATATACATATATATATATAATGGGATAACGGGTTTTGCCAGAATTGGACAAAGGGATCCTGTAGTTTGTGCTGAGAACCCGTGTTTCAAGGTTGTAAAGCATCTTTAAGGATATAGTCAGATGGCGATGGAGGGAGAGAAGCTGCTGGGACCGGGAATCCCGATCAACCAACACCCAGAGCACGTTTGTCCAGGAAAGCAATACCTACTACCCTGACCGTGTGGCCCAAATCTTTGTTTTAGGCGCGGAAGAAATGACAACAGTGGCCCGTAAGTGCTTGTTGCCACGATGTGACATGCGGTGAAAGAGCAATTAAAGCAGCGGAGCACCGGTTTGATGTTGACAACCTGAATCAACCTGATGCCATATGTATATATATATATAAATAAACTTCTATTCAGTGCAGCCGCGCACGCGCAAGAAGGCCCCAGGGCTTCCAACTGCGGGATTGAAGCAGCCAAAATGGAGGATAAAAACATATAAAAACCCACCAAGATGGAGGAAAAACATATAAAAACTTTTTAAAAACCCACCAAATAATGACCCATACTATTTGGGTTTCAAATCGTTGTTTTTTCCTCCATAATTATAACATCTTTTTACATGCCATATAAATGGTCCAAGATCGGGATGTAGGATCTTCTGGACAACTTGGGATTAATTTTCCATCCGTTTTGAGCGTCCCGTGTTCCGCTCAGACTCAGCTGATCACTACAGATGAGGTGCAGCCTGGGTCACCAACATTCACCATCATTCACCAACCATTTAAGGGAGTCCATGATAGTCAATGGGCAATTTATGTACGTGTATATATATATATACAGATATACATATATATATACATATATATATATATACATATATATATATATACATATATATATACATATATATATACATATATATATATACATATATATATATACATATATATATATACATATATATATATACATATATATATTATTAAATTATATTTTGTGATATTATATGATATTATATTTAACCGAAGGAAGTTTAGAAGTCTAACTTCCGACAATATGGACAGATGAAAAGCAGAGCAGGGCAGAGGCAGCGAGAAGAGAAAGAGTCAGAAGAAAGAAGATGCAGATGTGCGAAAAGGTAGGAAAGTGGCGAACACTGTGTCTTTCAATGATTTGTGGCTCCGGAGGGTCGAAACGTAGGCTCGCTAAAGCGGCGGGTGCGGAGCCATCTGGCCAGATGAGAAATGAAAAATTGCACGCCGTTGTGACGCGACTACACTACACTACACGACACGACACGACACGACACTACACACAACACACTACACACTACACCATGCCACACCACACCACACTCAATTACATTACACTACACTACCCTACCCCACATTGCGTTACATTACGTTACATTGCATTACATTACACTGATTCATTACACCACCACAAATGCAACTGCAACTACACTACACTAAAACTACAACTACAGCTGCACTACACCACACTACATCGAGCAGTTGTGGGTGAGGTGACCGACCTGGTGACCACTGCAACCATTGCAACCACTCCAAAAAACACAACTCCAAGCCCCTGTCGGTCCATCAGTGGATTTGCTCTGCCATCCGTGATTCACAGAAACTAATCTCTCCTATAGGTTTCCTATTTTTGACACTTCCGCCACCGCCTTGTGCAGTACTACTGGTATGTAAATCTATATATATATATATATAATAATTTCACAATATTATATATCTCTCTCTATATCTATGTATATATATATATATGTGTGTGTACACATGATTATTAGTTTATACGTATACAATTCCCAAGGGCTTTGATTTGGATTCCGTCAATTTCCTCAACAACTTCAAGCTGACACTGGCCAGGTAGCCTATCTGTAGTGTGCGACTACTGTTGATTCACTTGATTACTATTTACAATCTTTGATAGTTTTGATGTGACATTTGGGACTCACATCCACATTGCACGCTACACATTGAGTTTTTTAAACTTGAGTTTTGACAATAATTTCAACCAAAACCTGGAGTGGGTGACCTTGCCATCGAGGCTTCTAAGCTTGAGTTTTGTCATTACTTTCAACCAAAGACTGGAGCAGTTGACCTTGCCATCGAGTTATTCAAGTTTGAATTTCGTGCATAATTTCCACAAAACCTGAGCCAGTTTTGACATTGCCAGGACTTTTTTGGAGATTTACCGGTGTCAGACCGTGTGGGCCACGACAAGACGGGTGTCGGTTACAAGGATCCGTCTCTTGCAACAAACCGGTCACTTGCGTTGCCGTCACCTTCGAGCACTTTGCCCGTAGACTTGCAAAGCACGAATACGATATCGTTGTTGGTCGCAAATGTCGGCTTCATCAATCGCAGCCGGCGCTATCCGACCTGGGATGGATTGATGGAGCGACCCTACAAGGATTCGGCCAGACAAGGTGGTCGCATCCATTCATTAGTTTGCCTGTCTGCGGAGGTGCAATGGGTCAATGAAGCGAACGGTGGAGTTATATCTCGAGCCGGCCTCACTTCCTTCCGGGTTACCACAGTGCACGTCCACAACGACGAGAAGCGTTCCGTCGAGTCGTGCAAGCTTGCATTAAAGACACTATTATAGGTTGGCGCTCCGAGACACACATCGTGTCATTGGAGTGCGACTTCAACTTAGAACCCCAGGCTATTCGTGATGCAGTGGATTGTGTCATCGAGCAGTTCGAGGGAGCGAGTTACGAGGTTCTACATGGTGCTCGCAGCGCGGAGATCTGTTGCGTGCTGCTGAATTTCGCAAAGCTGCTGGACAAGTGAGGAGTTGAGACTTTCAGACAACGATGGAGATAACGACTAAGCTCGGCCCGCTTCAGCGGCAACCAGGAGGATTCCACCGGCTGGTGGCACGTCCGCAGCTGCGATGCCGAAGCCAGGCAGGGTGCTTGTTCTCAAAGACATTTACTATGATGTGTATATTGATTAATTGAATATTAATTGATATATTTTTGTATATATATATATATGAATATATATATATATAAATGATATAGGTGTGTATATATATATATACATATCATGATTATGTGTATTGTAATACAAAGGGTTGTGAGACTGATGTTGGTCTGATTTTCTGCTCATTTCCAGACCCCTGTTGTGGTATTATATAAAAGCAGCAAGACTGTGTTTTTTTGCTATTGGCAGATGGCGGCCTTTGATAGGTCGCCAACACCGGCAATGAGTCGGTTCCTGAACAAAGCACTTCGAGCACGAACATTGACGTGCACAAGAAAAGGCCAGGGACTTCTCGCCTTAGATCTCAAAGATATAAGCTTCAATTGTAGCAAATGGGCGTGCAAGAACATCGTGCCGCAGTAGTATGCAGAAAAAAAAACGCGAACCCATTTTTTAAAGTAAGAATACACACAAACAAACACGTGTATATACACATGACTATGTCGCATAACCCTACTTAAATCAACTACATTTTTGTTCTACCGGTTTTTATTTTCATGAGTTCCGCTTCGGATTATCGCATTGCAGGCCGGTGAGCCCCTTGAGATTCGAAGAAAAGACCTTGATCTTCGAGTCCCAGGTGGACGTGAAGGAGGCGGAACGAATGTTCTTCCATGATATCACATAGTTTAGGTGCCTGATAGCACATAGGGATAACACATCATGTGGTAAACAGGTAAACCCCTATTGATTTTTGGAACATCTCGAAGGACTCACCAGAAACTCGGTCAGCTTGGAACAGCCCGGACAGGTGATCCTGACCTCACGCCGCGGCCCGGCGTTGACGGATGGAGACGAAGAAGATCGGGGTTGAACCACCATGTATAATGGACATGTAAGCAGCTAGGAAAAGATGCTGGAAACCACTAACTTTCATGGATTCTTTAACTTTATATTTATCCCGTTCCAAAATTGATGTTATATTCAATTATATTCTGTTATATTCCCTATATTATCTATACTTCATTCAATGGACGGATTTAAGGGAACATCTACAGGATGCCATTCGTTTTTTACCCCAAAGAGAGATTTCCCCTTAAACCAATTCATGGGACATGAACCATCTGGGTGACAACCTTTAGGTTGGATCTAATGGGGTTAATTTCGTCTCTAAATTTAATGGGATTAGGAACAGCTAACTGGTGATTGGTTGCTAGTTGGTTGTTTGACCAATATCTGGTGGTTTCAAACATGAATGGATTATTTTCCATTTCATATATGGGATGTCATCCGAAACCCATTGACGATGGTTATTGCACCACCATTTTGGGATGATCCCACATGCTGCTGCTGCTCCCAAGGTAAATGCCAGATAGGAGCTGCTCTGAGCCACTGGGAAAGGGCAAGGGTAAACGCTGGACTGTTTGTTGAGGAAAATTCGGGTGTACCATGACAATCTAATCTATTAGGGATGAACACAATCCAGGTTTTTATCATATTTTTCCATGATTTCATATATGTTATGGTCGTTTTAAAAACCGCACGTTTGGCTGCAGTTTTCATGGAGCTAGTGATGGAAGCGAGTGCACCGGATCAGACCTCGATGATCAATCTTGTCGGCTGGAAGTGGTCATCAACTTTCAATATGCCACATCTAGTTATCAACATGAAATGTCAGCATCCTGAGTTTCAAGGACAAGTTCATACCTCCACAATTCCATACAATCTTATTCGGATGATTCTTGGGAACCCAGAGTGTTGAAGATCCGTCTTGCAGCCACCCTTCCCCAAGGTGCCACATATGTCTGGCTGATTAAGCAATGGTTGCACCCATTCTAACAGTAAATTGGGTGATTAATCTTTTGGGTGATTGATTCATTAATACTCGCCATTTGATGCCATTTGGGTGATGAATGTTTTGGGTGGTTTCGGTTGGGTAAACCCAAGGACTGTTTTCTCCCATAATCCCCGTTCTTGCCATGTAAGATCCCAGCGTTTCATGTTTACATTCCAGTTTACCCTAGCTAGTCTCCAACCATCCAATAAATGATTCCAAGTGTTTTTTTTTTAACCCCTGTCGTATATCCATGTAAATCCCATAAGAATCCAGTATGCTCCAGAACATCCCGCAAGAATCCCATCATAATCCCCCAGTAATCCATTGACATCCAAATGGGGGTTTCTCTAAAAGTAGATCCCCCAAACCATGGGTTTCAATGCGTGTAATGACTTGGATGATTTGGGGTATCCCCTGTTGTTTGGAAACCTTCAAATAAGCTGATTTTCATAATCCTGTGAATTTTCAAACAACTCATGTATCCCGTCAACGCGATCCATCAGCATTTCATCTCATGATAACCCCATAGGTATCCCACATTTGGAATCCACAATCTCATTACAATCCCATCAACATTCCCACATTTGGAATCCATCAACATAGTCTCAGAATCGCATCATAATCCCAGGTATTTCGAAATGGTTTCGAAATTTCTCAATTCTCCCATAGGAATTCTCCCATAAGAATTATCCCTGATAGCAATTCTCTCGTAATCCCAAGGTATCTGTGGCTTCAACACATTTCTGGCGAGCTTAAGTCTTCATGGTGCCCTTTCCATGCAGCTCTGCATGGCTGCTTGCCTCGGCCTCATTGCGATGCTCGGTCCATGGCCGTTTGGGAGGGGTCGGTTTGGGGGAGTCCTGGGGATTGAAAGATGGAAACATTGATATTGTCCATGCATATATCTAGACAACAATATATATATATATATATAGTATTCACATAAAATTATAGAATATATATTATATCAGTATCTAAGTCTATATCTATATCTATATCTATTTCTATATCTATTTCTATATCATTCTATATCTATATCTCTATCTATCTACCTATCTGCCTATCTACCTATCTACCTATCTATCCATCTATCCATCTATCCATCTATCGATGGATCTATCGATCTATCTATCTATCTATCTATCTGTCTGTCTATCTGTCTGTGTCTGTCTGCGTCTGTCTGCGTCTGTCTGCGTCTGGAACTAGGAACTGAGTCCATAGAGTTTTTTTCATCAAATCATGGTTCAACCGTCCTCAATAAGACCGAAAAGACGTCAACCTATGAGGATTGTAGGATAACCAATACTCTTATTATACCTACTTAATAGATAATTTATTTTGTAACCCAGTAAACCCCCAACCGAAACACCATGATTTTGTTGGGGGTGGCTCTGATCCAAAGCCTAAAAAAGGAGCTCCAAGTGAAGCTTCGCACAGCCAGAAACGAGCACAGTTTCTTCTTGGTGGCATCTGGGCAGATGTGGATGGGTCACTTTGTTGGCCGACCACGGATAAAATGATGAAATATGGTCATCTTTGTTTCCGAATGACATTCCAAGATCACGGACTGGTCAATTTTGGGATCAAAACTTAGGATCTTTACTAAACAGAGGCAAGACGAGGTGTAATTGTACATATATATACCTATAATATATATATACATAATATGTGTATATATACATATTTATGTATACCCATTATATATATATATATATCTATCTATCTATCTACATATATATATATACACATAATATTAAATATATATATATACACACACCAACTTTGTCATTTTTGAACAGGCATTTACCGGTGGACGGACCGGTGGACCGGTGGTGGCCCACCAAGGACTCCATGGATGAGGCATTGAAATACAAATTGGATGATGCAGCACCAGATGCGGCCCAAAAGGCCAGGGGCCCCGTGGCTTGTGAGGGCCACAAACACATGGCTATGGATCAATACCTATAGATAAAGGTTATTAGGGGATGAACATTCATTTACCAGCAATTTTGATGTTCACTAGGTGCCAGGGTTTTGACCCATCCCCACATGAACTCCATGAAAGAGTCGTGTTTTTTTTGGGTGGGGAGGGAATGTCAAAGAAGATTCCCCGAAACAGAAAGTTGTGTGATTCATATGAGGTTGATCGTGTCAAACAGATGGAGTAAGAACGGAGTCCGATGTACTTCTGCCAGGCGACCATGGCAGCAATGTGCCAGTTGGGTTTGAACGAGGCCTTGGTCTAAAGATGGGTCGGGAGATGGTCGTCAATTCATCAATTCATTTTCATAGGAATTGATATATCCACTTAATAAGGAGTTTCCAATAGATGGATGACCATAAACCATGCCTTAAGAGGGCTCTTCTGCCAGGCTTTGATGTTGCGCTGCTATCAGCACTAAAGACTTCGGACAAGGCGTGCTGGATGGATTGGGGCTTGGTGACGGTAGACTGGTTTTGGACACTGATTTCGCTTTGCCTGCACATAGCCCGCGATTCCATGATGGATCATTATTAATTATCATCCTCAAGATAAGTATAGAACTGGTTGGTGGTTTGGAACATGAATTTTATTGTCCATAATATATGGGATGTCATCCTTCCCATTGACGAACTCATATTTTTCGAGATGGTTATGGCACCACCAAGCAGAAAAGTCAAAAGATCCTACGAGGTGGTGCCCCTGTTCAACAAGCGGATTTGTGGTCGATATGTTCATCATATGTTTGGTGGGTGCCATTTTTAATCAACCAACATTATATAAACATAGTAATTGAATAATTGAATGCAATAGATTAGGACAAATCCTCCATCCATTATCATCCAGTTATGGATGAAATCCCCCATATAGTTTTCATCCATTGATAGCAATTTATAGATGATTCTCCCACATATTCCCTGAAAATAGATGATTTTTATGGAATAACTCATTGAAATAGAATAAATCTTTCATCCATTATCCTCATTGATTCTCCCATATATTCCGTGGTTTATTCCATGTAACATTCACCGTATTTTTTTTGGCCGTTCTTTTGCGCCGCAGATCCTGGTGGATGAGGAAGTGGTTGTGCGCTTCACGGATGGACCTCTGGGCCAGGCCAAGGGGTGTTCCATCCTTTAGAAATAGCGATTTTTCAATAGCAAACTGTTAGGGATAATGGCCGGGATCATTGCTATTGAAAATGGATAATTCTTAGTCATTTATCCATTTCATGGTTGATTTACCCAGTAAAAATGGTGATGTTCCATAGTTATGTTAGTTTACCATAGGGTATCTTATGAGAAATTGCCAGAACTACAGCAATCTTTCGGGAGTTCACCGACTGCCTGGGAACAGATTGGCGAAGACATTGGAAGTTTACGGCCACCAGTGAATACATGGGATGACAGCTTTCATTTTCAAGAGATCTCCAACTTTTATCTCAAAATTTGAGGTTTGTTGAGATAGAAAGAGGATCACATCGGTCATGTAAAAGGAGAAATGTGCAAAGACATCTCATGTATCATGTACCATGTATCATGTATCATATATCATATATCATATATCATCATCATCATCATCATCATATATCATATATCATCATGTATCATCATATATCATCATATATCAGCATATTTCATCATATGTCATATCTCATATATCATATATCATATATCATATATCGTCATATATCATCAAATATCATCATATATCATCGTATATCATCATATAACATCATATATCATCATCATATTCACATATATATATATATATATATATATATCGTTCTCATTATTGTAATCATCATTATATATAATCATCATTACTATAATATTTTGTCATTGTCATCATAATTTCAGTAGTGATGAGTACATATTCTTGTTATTGCCATTGTTGTTGTTGCTGCTGTTGTCGATGTTGTTGCTGCTGCTGCTTTTGTTGTTGTTGTTGCTGTGGTGGTGATGGCCGTCGTCGTCGTCGTCGTCGTCGTCGCCGTCGTCATTGTCAGCATCATTTTTATTATCATTCTTAATTATAGTCATTACAGTATTATTATACGTGTATGATGATTGTTATTACTACTATGACTATTATCATTTGTTTAAATCATCATTCTTATCATTATCAGTCTTCTTCGTAATATTGAAACTTGAACCGGTTGTTATACTTCAAATTTTCTCAACGTTTCTCACCGTTTCGACTCTCCGTTGGTTGCCGTTGGTTGCGAGGCGGTGGGATCGCGCGCGCAGTGGTCCGGGGCCGCGTTGATGGGCGTGGGCCTTCTCTTTACCGTTGGGGAGAACGTGCTTTGGCGATGTGTTAAGGTACAGCGGTGGGGGTGTTCTTACAGTAGGATAATCATATGGGATATTGTATGGGATATTGTATGGGATGTAATTGTGGTGGGATAAATAACTACAATGGGATGATAATCATGGGATTACATTAGGATGATCATATTCTAGATGGAGATAATATGGAATATTATATTACTATATGGGATATAATAATGCGGTGTCAATAACCATCTAATTATATGGAATGTATAACTATAATTTTGATAATACAGTATAACTAATGGGATAATGATGGGATAATATACAACTATATAATATAATGGAAATAATGGGAATACTAATATAACTAATGGGGGGTTCAAGAATAACTATTGTCATGTGGTTTCTAAAGTCATGGTCCCCCAAGCGACCACGGGTTAACCCATACTAAATCATGGTCATCACTGGATTTGGGGCTAGACCCATGACTTAGGAAATGGGGACAGATGGATTCTTGGAAAATGAATTTGGGGATTTAAATTGGGATTATACGGGGATGAAATAGGGACATAATTGATCCAATCCAAGAACTGGTGTTTATGGGATTGAGCAGCTGATCTATCTGACATTAGCCAATTGACCAACTAAACTCTTCTGGGAACATATGGATTCAATTGGGATATTACCCAAGAAATGGGGATTCAACATGATGTAATTAATCAGGACAAAATGAGGAAATCCGTTCCGATCACGTGGTCCAGACTTCTTCATGATCTCCCGAGCTGGAAGCTGGGGTTTCTTGCGGGCAGTCGCTGTTTTGTTCCTGTATATCCTCACATACCGAATCATACCCTACCATGCCACAATGGCCCAGCTGTTCTCATGGCTTTCACACATTCTGACCGCCACTGACTGGAAACTCACAGAGACTGAAATCTGAATTCGCATTGAGTTGTAAGGGCAACTGGGTTACTGTACAACCTGTTACAACTTCTATCAACTTATTATATTTTGTTTTTGATTGGCATTTCCATAAGATATCCGTAGATGATGAATGGGTCACTAGCGGTTTGTAACTGGGAAACCTATCCCCCATTGGTATTTCAACCCACCGACCAAGGCTCGAGACTCTGACGGAGTCGCCAAGTGGAACCAGCTGAAAATGCCTGGCATGGGATGATGGAACCAGTCCTGACCAAGTCAGGTTGTTAGGACTGGAGATACTGTGGATCGTAAGATTGGAGGTAAACAGAGAATGAAACCCAGAGAACTGGGCCAGTTTGGATGCGACTTCGCAAGTTTTTTTGTGTTTTTGTGCTCCACCGTTTTTGTGTCGAGGGTCCAACTGGGAGACCTCGGCACTGTGGCTTGCAACAGCTGGCAGATCGGGGGCACCTGGCTGGGTTACCCTCTGGTAAACATTGGTAAACTAACAGATTGCTATTGAAAATGGCCATTTATAGTGAGTTTTGCCATTAAAAATCGTGATTTTCCATAGTTATGTTAGTTTACCAGAGGGTACAGCCTAAGAATCAGGTCTAAGCTGCCAATGATCAGTTGTCTCCTGCATCTTTGACTGCAGCATGGTGCGAAATCATGCGAAAGCCGCCTGGAGTGCAAACGGGGATGATGGTCAATACCTATAGTCTAGGGGACCGTTTTGGAGGGAGCCAGGCAGCCACATCTGTTTATATTTTGTTGCCCGCTATTTGGGCCTGGGTTTTTGACCAGTGCTCCTCCATGCAAAGCCTCTGGAACTACTGATTGGGCACATGGATGTTGTTTTGTGGTGTTTTGTGCCTGCCAGTACAACATGGAGTACTACGAAAGACGTGTCGAGGCCTCTCTTCCTATGGGCTGTCACTGCACATGATTCACGGGGATTTGTTGTTGTTTGTCCTTTGATCTGGAGTTCATAAGTTCAAGAAGAAAGTCCCAAGTGGGATCGAAATCGAACCAAGGAACACAGCTTAAGGCGTAAGGGGTTATGTTTCTTTGGTTACTGTACTTTATCATACTTTAGCTGTATTGATTTGTCAGATGTGATGAATGTATATACGCCAATTGATTCATTGCAATCAGCTCAAAATGTTTTCCACTGGATGCTAGCCATTATATTGTATTAACATATCTTAACCAGTACTAAGTCTGAAAGTGAGGAGTTGATTCACACTATCCCCTCATTCTTGAACTTTCCCCTCTGGAGCTGCGTGAGGGTGACTTGCGTAAGCGATCAGCGGAAGCGGCTGCCTGGGAAAATTGGATTTGTTTTCCATCTTCATCGGAACAGAATATACCCACATAATCACAGGCCAGATTCATCCAGCAGCGGCCGCTTGTGTGGCTGCACGCTGGACTAGAAACATGGGAGTTTTTCTGTCGAGTTGAGACCTGCTAGCATGGCACGCTCTTGGCCGCGATCCTCTCATAATCCTGTATGGGTGGTTTCTTAATGCTTTATACTCTTTCACTAACCCTTCTTTCTATGTGCTACGCATCCTCAACTCACAATTCCGCAAACCATTCAGGATATGTGCTCTTAACCATTACCTTACGGTACTACTAACCGTTCAAAGTGCTATTGGCAACTTGGAAGTATACACAGTGTAATGGGTGGCGCTTCTCCTTTTTTTAGGGACAGCCTGATGTACTGCCTCGCAGCTATTTTGTTTGAATGGTGTGCAAAGATCATCACAGTTAGTTCTTAAATACAAAAACATTCGTGGAATTGGATTTATTTTCCATCTTCATCGTAACAGAATATACCCACATAATCACAGGCCAGATTCATCCAGCAGCGGCCGCTTGTGTGGCTGCACGCTGGACTAGAAACATGGGAGTTTTTCTGTCGAGTTGAGACCTGCTAGCATGGCACACTCTTGACCGCGATCCTCTCCTAATCCTGTATGGGTGGTTTCTTAATGCTTTATACTCTTTCACTAACCCTTCTTTCTATGTGCTACGCATCCTCAACTCACAATTCCGCAAACCATTCAGGATATGTGCTCTTAACCATTACCTTACGGTACTACTAACCGTTCAAAGTGCTATTGGCAACTTGGAAGTATACACAGTGTAATGGGTGGCGCTTCTCTTTTTTTTTTGGGACAGCCTGATGTACTGCCTCGCAGCTATTTTGTTTGAATGGTGTGCAAAGATCATCACAGTTAGTTCTTAAATACAAAAACATTCGTGGAATTGGATGATTTTTCATCTTCATCGTAACAGAATATACCCACATAATCACAGGCCAGATTCATCCAGCAGCGGCCGCTTGTGTGGCTGCACGCTGGACTAGAAACATGGGAGTTTTTCTGTCGAGTTGAGACCTGCTAGCATGGCACACTCTTGACCACGATCCTCTCCTAACCTAGATCCTGAAAAAGGATCCTGAAACATGTTGGCAGCGTTTGGTATTTCAGTTAGGTTGTCCATGTAGTCATCAGATAGGTGTTGGACGGTACTGGCAATGAGGAGGTGTGAACACCATGAAGGATGTTTGCAACTCCATTTTGGCCCAAGCCTCGCACAATCGCAATCCGCCTTTGTGCATGCTCTGTGTTGTCATGACTTCAGGGCAAGCAAAAGTGTCTTATACTCGGACGGATCAGTCCTTCATCGCATCAACCCTGAGTCTGGTACATACTTGTCTGGATTTGTTGCGGAAAATGCAGCCGACGATAGATAAGCTTCGGAGATTGGAGCTGGCTGTTCATCATCTGACGTTCCACATGAAGGGAATCAAGACAAATCAGAAGAAGCTAGCTGCAAAATTGCGGCCTCTACGTCCAATGGTGCGTGATATCCACAAATTGAAAGCGAAACACGAAAGGTTGTTTAGTACCTTGAGAACCAAAGGTGCAGTCTTCGCATGCCACAGAGGCTTGCGCCTCCTGAGACGCGTGCGCATGAACAGACGCCGCCGCTGCTGATTCAATAGCCAGCGTGTGAGGGGTGCTGGAAAAAAAGATCGCTCCCACTGCGACTGTTGGCACCGCTGATGTTTGTTCAAGATCATGTGTGACATGTGGATATGCAAGGATAAGAACCCATAGCTTTTCCTACAGACATGATTCTTTGAATCATCCCAGTGAAATGCTTGTGAGTTCGTGTGTGTTCTCTGGCTAGGACGCTCTAGGGGCTCCTGTCTCTGTGCAGACGATCTGGCCCACAGCCAAGCCATAGTTGCACTGCACGGGGTGTAGTTTCATGTCGGAGCGTCCATCGTGGGAAAGCATGAGCCACGAAGAAGAAGCGGAAGTGGGTGCGCAGGAGGATGTGTTGCCCGAATCAGAATTCCCTCCAGAGTGGCATGAGGATGAAGAAGGCGAAGGGGCAGAACTCCAAGATGCCGCACTTGGAGCGCCCCAGGGGCCTCCGACTACCCATCATTCAGAGCGAGAACTAGGCGACCTGTCGCTCCAGCTTGTGGCTGACCAAGACACTGCAGTAGACATAGACATGTCGCAGCTCTCTCAAGTGGCGCCTAGCCAAGATGCCGCAGTTGGACCAGCTGAATGCGATGAGCGCTTGGGTTTCCGGTACCGGCCCACCTCTCATATGATGAGTCGCATCCCAGATCCGCTGTTGCAGCTGCTGCCGCGCTTGGAAGCCTGCGGTTCCGAACCTGAACTTGGAGAGCTGCTAGAGCCAAAGCAATTGTTCATACATTGTGAGAATGGAGAGAAGCTGTATAGCTCAACCTTTGTCGTCTTGGAGAATGCCGTAGCCGCACAGAAGGACGTTTTGGACGTTGGAGATGATCCCGCCTTTGACATCGGCCTCTTAGCCCCGACGCCAATCATCGTAGCCTTGCAGACCATCTGTGGAGCTCAAGGGTGGTGTCTGGAAGCAACTCTACAAGGCCATGTTTTTTTTCTCTCCCAGCCCTGTAGCAGCCTCGCCTAACCTAGCTTCTCATTTTGTTTCGTCACATGACCCCCACTGCAGGTCTTTTTTGTGTCACGGGGTGGCTCGAGCACGTGGACACCCGCTTGAAAGTCAGCCATGACGAGGAGCACATGCGAACTCCAACTTTGGCAGCTTTCCACGGCTCCCGGGCAAGCAACCGCAAGAGTTCCATGCAGGCATGGCTTCTACAGGAGCTATTGGCAGACGGAAATCTTCCGGATGGAGTCAGGCAATCCGGCTGCATTTGCACAGATGGCACAGTCAGAGGACACAGGAACAATTTATGAAATTTCCGGAGGAGCGGCCTCTCTTCCACAGAAATTTCAGAATGCTACAAAACAAGTCTGACAGACCCAGGCATTCCCCAATCGAAGCTGGCCAGCAAGAGCTTGGTGAACAAGTTTGTGCACAGCGAACGGGATGCTTCCATTTCAGGGGCCATGAGAGATGAGAGCACTCGCTACTTGTTCTTTCACTGGGTCATTGGCCATACAGCTCCAACATGCGAAGTACTCTCCATCCGGAAAGGTGCCGAGATGGGATTCCCCAAGCGCTTTCATTGCGTCTTCAGAGGGTCCAAGCCAGCGACAAAGCCAGAGCAGGAATGCTCTCAGTCAAAGCAGCTGATGATTGACTTCATTGCTTTCATGGCCGAACATGCCAACAAGGGAGATGTTGAAGGCGGTGGCGCTGTCGTGACTTGCGACAAGTATGCGGCTGGCTGGCTCAGGCAGGGCAAAGGGCCTTTTTTGGGGGAATGTCCTTGTAATGATGTTTCATTCTTCAGGTGCCATGTCCCTTGCCAGGCAGATTTTGCTTTGCATTGAAGACTTTCAGGAGCAGAACCCAACCCTGTCGTCCGCGTGGACCCAAAAGTTAGACTACGCCGACAGTGATCTCCTGCGCATTGGAAACATCGTGAGGAGGCTGCGGCAGTTCCTCCGTGTTCGTGCAGGGCAACCTTTTGAAGAAGTGCCAATCACCATCCGAGACCTTCAGTACGCTGTGCACAGTTGGTGTCGACAAATTGAGTACTACTCTGCCTTGATCCGTGCTGATGAATGTGGACATGAGGAGCGCAGCGCAGCGGGTGGAAACCCGAAAGATGTGCAAACCTTGGTGATGAAGATGTTGCTTCAGGCAACGCCAAGCACCGCAGAGGAGCAGAATACACACACAGTCCGGAGCAGCCTCCGTGGCAGATTGGCCACCATATGTGAAAAAGGGACCAAGGATGAAAGGAAGAAGAAATCAAACGGTCCAGCCAACACCGTGATAGAAGCTGTGCGGAGCCTAGCCTCCAGTGCCGTGTTGGAAAGCAGAGAAGAAAAGAAGTCAGGACACACAGTGATCCACTTCAAGAAAAGAAAGTGGGCCGAGATTAGCGACAGCTCCTCTGCCATGGCAATGTGCCAGTCCCTGCACATCAGCAGCGAGCACTTTCCCCAGTGCTAGAGATGCAGACTGCTGTCGCAATCGGTGAAAACACCATGCGCACCATACCTGACTCTACGTTCGCTTTCCGAACGCGTGCACGAAAACGATCCAAAAAGGAGATTGCGCATGGGATGGGCACATGGGCATGCTGCGGACAAATCACACACGAGTCATGTGAAAAAGTGTGTCGCTTGCACCAACGAACACGCGCTTCTTTTCCTGACTGACATTTCACTACTCTAGCGGCTAGCGCAAATGACGCCTGTGAGTTCCACAGTTGCACTTGACAGCACCTCGTCCCGAACCTTTGAAAGTTCTTAGTCCGAATGTTGCAGCTTTGGTTCCAGTGGCCGCCTGTCAAGCACAAGGCATACTTCACAGCACGAACCATACTCGGCAAGGCGCTTTAACACATGTTTGCCCAGCAAGCCAAAAAAACGAAGTGCTAGAACCTGAGGCGCCTAGGCGGCAGAGGTGTTTTTTTCTTGTCATTCACTCTTTCTTCCAGTGGCCACCTGCTTTGCAATGACCTTGACCATCAAGCGTGCTTTTGCTCAGCAGATCTATGCCGGCGAGAAGTTGTTCGAAGCCCGGCCTGAACCCAAGCAGATACAGAACTTGGGCTCAACCGTGACGTTTCATTGGTATACCCAAGAAAGACTGATGTGTCAAATTCGCCAGAAGCTACGGTTCAGCTCAGCCCGAGAGATGCTCCAGACTCTGCAACCTGAGACGTGCCTGCCTGGCAAAACCTATGATGAAGCAGTGGTCACTGATTGGAGACAAATACGTGTTCTGTTTGCGTTTAAATATGTTCGACAAGTTTATGCAAGATTCCTTTTTTCTTCGAAACCAGCTTCCTAATAAAGTGACCATCCGATTTTTTTTAATGGTTTTGATACAGCATCAGCACAAGGCTGTCTATGAGAGCTTGGGTGAAGCATATGCCAACAAGCCCATGGTCGCTTTGGAGCTTGTGCCCATTGAGTGGATGACCGGAGTCCTACCCACGACTACGAAGACAAAGAGTAAAGCTGCCATGGTGCAGAAGACAAAGAAAAGAAAGAAGATGGAAGCAGTGCCTCTCATCACGCGGCCCGACATGAGCAATCCACACGAACGACGAGAGGCGGAGCACAGGCCAGAGGAAGGAGAGCAAACGGATGCGCAGACTTTGATGAAGATGCTGCTTGAGGCAACGCCGAGCACCTCAGAGGAGCAGAGTACACACATTGTCCGCAGCAAGCTTCGTAGCAGATTAGCCAACATATGTGAAAAGGGTACCAAAAATGACAGGAAGAAGAAATCAAACGGTCCAGCCAACAACGTGATAGAAGCTGTGCGGAGCCTAGCCTCCAGTGCCGTGTTGGAAAGCAGAGAAGAAAAGAAGTCAGGACACACAGTGATCCACTTCAAGAAAAGAAAGTGGGCCGAGATTAGCGACAGCTCCTCTGCCATGGCAATGTGCCAGTCCCTGCACATCAGCAGCGAGCACTTTCCGCAGTGCTAGAGATGACTGATGCACAACAGCAAAGTGGTCCAGCAACCTGAATCTCAGGCATGCTGTTGCTAATTATAGGTAGAAACATCGTATGTAGATGAATCCGTGTTCGACGTCCGAACACGTGCCGGGAAGAAATCCAAAAAGGCACATTGCATATGGGACGGAAAAATGGCATGTCCAAGGTTTGTCTCTCCCGTAGACCCCACCAATAACGTCGAGAACAACAAGATACCAGGTGTACAGTGCTTACTTCTGTAGGGATGCTAAGGCTCATGGAGACATGGCCGTAATGATGGCACCAATGCGCTATAGGGTCATGAACGTGTGAGTTTCAGCTGAGAAACGTGAAGACAGTGAAGAGAAGACATGCGCGGTTCCGTCATCCGCAGTGGACATGTAGAGAGAAAAGTCAAGTCATGACAAGTCCTTGCTGCCTTGAAGCTACGCCGATGTTTGGTCACATCTAGAACTAATGAATGAGAAATTCAAAGATTTCAATATACAAACACGACATATACAGCAATCTAGACCTGCCAACTGCCGCCGCTAAATCCAAGTGACAGACTTTAATTCGGAGCGCCCCAGGGGCCTCCAACTACCTACCCTTCCATTTGCTACAAGTCGCAGAGTACTCGGCACGGCCGCCATGTTGCCCCCGGCCGAAAAGCGAGACACTTTGCTTCTCTCTGATTCCTCCATTGAACTCTTAAAGACATGTCCGAAGGTTCTCAAAGGAAGTGGAACAGCAAAGCGCGGAGACATCTGAATTTCCCAGATCGGAACTGGCAAAATTGTAGCAACTGCTTCTCTCGTGGGTGTGCGGCGCTGGGAGTCAGTACCTGATTCTCTGCACACAGCGTTGCAGGAGCGGCTGCAAGAAGTAGGCTACACTTCTCCGCACGTGTGGGACATGGAAGGCGTGACTCTTCTGCCAGAACCTTGGCATATACCGCCGGATGTGCGCAGAGGCTGCCAACATTGGATTTCCAAGGAGCGCTGGAACACACATGCCCAATCCAACAGGAAGCGTACTTTGCCCTCTGGAAGAGCCTGGCCCAAAAAGTTTCCCAGGAAATCCAAAATGCAAATTGAAGGTTCTTGCTTGCAACAAAGGAACGAGTTGTGGATGAAGCACACTAGACCCCGAAAGGGGCAGAGGACCAAAAAAAGGAATCGCAATGCGCCAGCCACCCACGCCATGGCAGACGATATCCTGAACCGAGGCCAGATGTTTTCCAGTGCTGTGCAGCGGCTGCAAGCTGGCAGAACAGCAGAACGATTAGATCATCTGGCCGCCATGTCTCTCTTTCATGAGCGACAGCGATTTGGCGCAAATCCATTGCCGCGACCGGGCCGCTGCGCCAAATGGAAGGGCGGTCTAGTTTACATCGTTGCTTGCTTTGCGAGACGAGGTCTGCCACTAGCTGATATTCTCCCTTTGGAGCCTGCAGCGATAGAAGGCTGCTGGACTGCCACTCGCACGCAAGTGCGCACTTGTCCGCAGAAAGAGTTGAGCGATGTCGGTTGCAAAGCCGTGCAGCTGCAGCGCAAAAACCTCAAAAAAGGACGGCTGCATTTTCAAGAAAAAAGCATGGCAAAGAGCAGCCCATGCCTTTGGGATCCTCATGCCCATCTGCTGTTGAGCACATACATGGAAGACACCACGCCCGACGCTTCACCGGCATGGCCCGTGACGATCGTCACAATTCAGCCGCAAACAGCCCAGCTCCACACCGCCGCGGCCATCGATGGGCATTGGCATCGCGTGGTTGCACCTTGTCATAACAGATAGATACATATATATTTACATACAGATAGATAGCTTGATAGATAGATAGATAGATAGATAGATAGATAGATAGATAGATAGATAGATAGATAGATAGATAGATAGATAGTTAGATAGATAGATAGATAGAGACTTCTAGTGGCACATACATTCGATGCGAGGGAACATTGGATTTCAATGTTCCAACTCGATCTGGCTCTGTTAACAGCGTCCTCATTGACAAAGCTTGTCATGCCATCTTCCCCCAACTTAGGTGCGTGGAGAGAAGCGATGTCGGTACAAGTGTGTCCTGGATCTGCCATTGCCGCGTCTGCTGGATACCAGACCCTGGCGCTGCTTAGACTGCGGTCTCACTTTTGCGGTGACCCCAGCCGATGTACTGGCTGCCTTCCCAAAGGCTTTGCACCACAATGCTGCAAAGCAGAAACCTTTATGGTTCTCTGGAAGCTTCCTGGTGCATCTAGCGCAGAAGTTTTCGGAAGTGCTCAATGCTGGTGCGGTCAAGAGATTCGTTCTGGACATGTATGCCGCTAATTGCTTAAGCCTTGCCAATGCCGAAGCAAGACTAGCGGTGCTTGCGTGCGTTCCTCGTGTCTGCGCCTTGCGATCTGTCCTCCGCACAGCCCTGGCTAGTTATCTGCCCGGGCTCGTGGCTGAGATCCAGCGGTCCGCTCACGTCTACTCAGGAAGCGCGCTCAAAGGCGATGGCAATTACAAAGTCCCACAGAGAATCAAAGGAGGGGGGAAGTGCTGCTTCCATGGCTGTGCCTTCAAGGTTTTCGGAGCTAAGCAACTATGTTTTCGGTGCGGCTAAAACACATGTAGTAAAGGAATTCAACCACAAAAAACAGCAGTAATCCGACACCTATATCAAAAGTACACAAAACACAGACCCATGGGAAAAAAAACAAAACATGGAGTAACAAACTAGCATCACAAACCAGAATAAGGTTGCAGCCAGGGAAAGTGCAGACATGCAAGGGTCTCCATCAAGGATTGCAAATCACAAACAATTTATTGGACAAGCTCTGTATACATGTGGAAACTTGTGCAGGAGCTCGCCCACACACAGCTGTGATTTACGCTTGGTGTGGAGTGGACGGATGCCTCTTGAAACCGTGCGTTTTGCTGCCCGTGGAGAGCTGGCCTTACATACGCAATGATTTGGACGAGCTTGCCAATCTGTTGAGCTTTGCTTGCCTTAGGAAAATTTTCCGATTTATTTTATCTTTTGCTGCAGCATCGTCTCTTTCATCTTAGCCTGCTCATCGCGAAAGAAACTCAGATTTGTCGGCCACCTCTGTTTTAAGGATACGCAACCGGGAAGCGGCCGGATTAGCCCAACATGAAGTTCCTCCGGCTTATCATAGCACTGACACGTACATCAAACACAGAAAGCTCCTGCAGTCCTTCTGGAGACAAAAGTTCAAGGTGAAGATGCAAACGGTCTCTGATACACCGCGAAGCGATGCCCGTTCTTTGGAGCCCGCTGAGGATGCGGCGCCCACCAAGCAGCTTTTTTTGCAGCCACAGCAAGGTTTTGTTGTAGGCCTTTTCCAAGATGGGCATTTGGAGATAAACGGTTTTCTTGCCGCGTCGCACATGGATTGAATCCACACAGGATAACCGGTGACCCTCATCATGATTGCATAGCACTCAACCGCTTGGTTCCTCCCAGCTGCAGTGACGGGCACACTTTCCTGAGAGACCATCACAGCTTGATGGAAAGGCTAAGCCTCCCGAGCCCTTCCCACGACCCTCGCCCTGCCAATCATGTCTTCTATGAGTTAGAGGAGGACTGATGTGAGCCACATACATCTTAAATATTTACTGTCGAACGGCGAAACCATGAGGGGGACGAAAGGTTCCACGGATAAAAATCAATGCGAAACGGTTAGTCTAAACCAGGCACGCAGCTAAATTCCTTCAACATTCTTGCGAAGGAACCTAAACACCGAGAAGCACTACAGAACTACATTCCATGTCTTCTTGTCATGGCAAATGCACAGGATTTATATGTGTATATATATATATATAGATATATATACAGACAAACCCTTTCAGGAGATGTGGCCTTTCTTGCGAGAAGCAGTGCGCAGGCGAGACTACGACTTGGACCAAAGCATAGCCAGCAAAGCCGAGCAGCAGAGGCTGCAAAAATTCCTCAGCCAAGCGTATGCCTCGGATGCCTTGACTTGGCAGAAAGTTTTTGGCAGCCATCCGCCGAGACAGACTTTGGCCCGACTGTGTCGGCGCTTTCGCGTCCAAGTGCATGTTACCGAAGGGCAGCACAACGTGCGAAATGCAAAAGAGTTCACCACGGAAGTCCATCGAATCAGTCGGTGGTACAGAGAAAGGCGGCGGGCAGACGTTTCCAGGCGCCGAAAGGTCTTAAGGGAAAGACAGAAGGCAGTCATCAAGGGAAGCGGGACTGTGATGAACAAAAAGGTGCGCGCGCATTTGCGGCGCTTGCGACGGCCCTTGCGCGTCGAAAGCATGATGATGTGGAAAGAGGCAGCTCTTCAGACTTTGGCTGCTGGCATTCCTGTTCAATCTGGAACGGTGTGTGTAGAGCGCTTTTGGGCAATACTACTGACATTTCTGCCGCAGCAGGTGCGACAAATGTCGCAGTCCTGGTGGGAAGTGCTGGCTCAACTCAGCTTTGTAAAATTTAATTACCAGCACTTTAGCTCCCATGCCCTTTCCAGCCTCGCAGAGCGAGATGCAGAGATTCAAAGTAAGCTCTCAACCTGCATGTTGTTAGCTAAAGCGCTGCATGACAGCGAAGTCTGTCAAAGCATGGGATTGAACGACTTGTTTGACCCTTTTCGAGGCAGTGACTAGTCTCTTGGCGCCAGAAACAGCCGTTGTGACTTGCATTCCCATTTTCATTCACTACATCCATGTGCTATTGCAGTGGTCTCTGGCTTGCTTCGCTTGTGACACTCTGGTCCTGTCAGTAAACTCATATGAGAGTCAGTTATGACACTGCTGGTGAAACATGCAGTCGGACTCATTGGTGTTTACTTTGTGGTGCTTTCAACATGTGATTCTAGACATGAATCTGACTATGAATATGTAATGTAATGTATATATATATATTATATCTCCAGATATTCAGAATCCTCAACAGTTGGCCACTTTTTCTGTTGGCCGCGAGTTTTGACCCACAGCGAATCAGCAGACTGTATAATCAGCACTGCTTGGTGGGTTGCCA